GCCGTTTGAGGCAGTTTGGCTCTTTTAAGCCTTTAAATGGCTAATGTTGTTCTCAGATACTTTGTCAGATTCGCATGGAGAGTTTTTACCATTTGCTTTTAGATGGATGTTTTTAATGGAATGGAATTGGATGGAGTTACTATTATTATGAGATGACAGCTTGGAGCTGCTCACATCCAGAAATGATTCATTTCTGTGAAAATGTTCATTGTTGATTCTGTTGGGAATGTTCATGTTGATAAACATGCAAAAACCAAAAAAACACACTGGGCTTGACTATACCTTAATTTCCAGGTATATATCTAGATTTATATGAAGAGTTTAGATGCAAAAACCTGTAAATGCCGTATGATATTTTCTTCTAAAATTAGCATTTTTCTCCGACTCCTGTTTGTAGGCTCAGTAATTTTACGTTTATATTGACAAATATGTTCTTTTTATTGGCTTTAAAGTGAAATAACTGAACATACACAAAGGAAGCTGAGAAAAATGCTTATTTTAGGAGAAAATGTCAGACGGCATTTAGAGGTATATATTCATTTATTTATTTATTCATTCATTCATTCATTTTCTTTTCAGCTTAGTCCCTTTATTAATCTGGGGTGGCCACAGCGGAATGACCCGCCAACTTATCCATCATATGCTTAAGCAACAGATGCCCTTGCAGCTGCAACCCATCACTGGGAAACACTCATACACACACTCATTTACACACATACACTATAGACCATTTAGCTTATTCAATTTACCTAAAGCAAATGTCTTTGGACTGTGGGGGAAACAAGAGCATGCAGACAAGGGGAGAACATGCAAACTCCACACAGAAATGGCAACTGACCCAGCAGAGGCTCGAACCAGCAACTTTCTTGCTGTGAGGCGATTGTGCTACTCACTGCACCACTGTGTACGACAGTTTTAAGGATTTGAGTATTTGTTTGTTTTGTTATATGACGATCTGATTTATTCTGAATTGAAAATAAAATATTGCTAAAATATTAATATAAATGTTTTTTTTTATCTACAGAATTTGACAGTTGTTAAATGTTAAATAACAAAGTCAAATAAATAATAAAATAAAGAATAAATGCTTATACAAAGGATTATCAGTCTGTTAAAAAAATAGCAGTATCAATATTTTTCTTTTTAAAGAGAAAAAAAAAAGTTTTTACTTAAACACTATTTTTATTACTTAAACACAAATTTCAGGGACATTTCCTCCTCAGCATAGAGCAACATAATCTCTTCAAGTATTCTGATGTATTCAAACTGATCTACGATACCTGGTAAACAGTACAAGGGTCCAACACCACTAGTATGAGGAACATCACATGATTTTTGTGCCAACATTCTTCTCACTGTATTAAATTCAGTACCTGTATGTCGTCTGACAGACCGTCTATGACACTACATCTGAAAAAATTATTTTTACTTTCATCAGTTCACATCTTTGGGCTTTGTCAGTGTGTTCCTTGAACAATTTTAACCGATTCAGCATTTTTCAACAATGGAGTTTTACGGGGGCTTCTTGCTGACAGCGGATCTTCCATCAAACATCTTTTGACAGTAACTGTACTTAAAGGTCATTTAAGATCATCTTTGATCTGTCTGGAAGTGATGTTTTGCTGAATCTTTGCCCTTCAGACCATTCTTGATCTGTTTTAACTGTGGTTGCTTGTTCTCATCGGTATATATTTGCTTAAAATGTAGTTGTTTTATTTGTGTTAAAAATGTATCATTTTTAAAAGGAGCCGTACCCTCAAACTCCATTTCTGTCCCTCATTAGAGGATCACCAACTTGAACTAGAATGACTAAATGAGGTAATACAAATTAATATGAATTAGCCACTAAATCAAAAAGTTATGAATTTGCTGCGAGATTGTTGCATGTTTTAGTTTTTTTCTTGCCACTTGAAAGTATTTGAGTTCATTTTTTGATGGGAATCCTATAATTTGCTGCCAATCTTGCATCGGTCACTTTATTTGGTACACCTGTCCAACTTACTCAAATTTCTAATCAGCCAATCACATAGCAGCTTCTCAATGCATTTAGGCATGTAGACACGGTCAAAATGATCTGCTGCAGTTCAAACCAAGCATCGGAATGGGGAAGAAAGGTGATTTAAGTGACTTTGAATGTGGCATGGGTGTTGGTGCCAGACGGGCTGATTTAAGTATTTCAGAAACTGCTGATCTACTGGGATTTTCACGCACAACCATCTCTATGGTTTACGGAGAATGGTCTGAAAAAGAGAAAACATCCATTGAGCGGCGGTTCTGTGGGAGCAAATGCCTTGTTGATGCCAGAGGTCAAAGGAGAATGGGCTACAGCAACAAAAGACCAGATCGGGTGCCACTCCTGTCAACTAAGAACAGGAAACTAAGGCTATAATCCGCTCAGGCTCACCAAAGTTGGACAATAAAATATTGCAGCAACTGCGAGATGCTATTATGTCAATAAGGACCAAAATCTCTGAGGAATATTTTTAGTACCTTGTTGAATCTATGCCACAACGGATTAGGACAGTTCTGAAGGCAAAATTGGGTCCAATCTGATACTAGTAAGGTGTACCTAATAAAGTGGCCAGTGAGTGTGTATGTTTTTCCTTATGCAATCAACGTTTTATTTAAATCACTTTTTCTGAACAATGTTTGAAACAACCTACTTTACATCACAAATGAGAAAGAAATATAGAAAACAGTGACTTTTTCCTTTAAAAAAGAGGACCATCATACAGTAATATCTGTTTTTTCACAGAATAAATGAATTCTCTCATTAAACTTCACACTGCTATTATTTTGAACACAACCATGTCAATGTAATAGCCAATAACTTGGAGCAAGCAACACATGACACAACAAAACTATTGCAACAAAACTACTGACTCTGTTTTATTCTATTACAGTACTACATTTACGAGTGTGTGTGTGTGATTACATCTTCTCTTTGCATGTACTCGTGCGGTACAAATATGTAAACAGGACTGTGCTCATATTATATTGTGTATGTGCAAGAATGCAAGACCTTTAAATGAGGAAAATGGCTCTTTGTGACCACAGGCAGCAAACAGTAATATGAAGATATCCAGAGCGCTTTAGCAGGGTTACGTGTGATGGAGTGCATTAGCATAACCAAAGCGAGAGAGGAAGATTTAAAAAGACAGAGAGCTGGAAAAAGCAGCGTTTGTGCATGTCGGATTATTTAGAGGACAGAAAGCACAATCAGCATCCTCATGATTCCTCATCTGTCTGCAATAGATCAGGCCGTTAGCATGCGGTGAGAAAACACAGTCCTCTGATTCCAGCTCAAATCAGAGGTTAACCAGACTGTTATTGTGAAATTACATTCTGACCAAAAAAGGAGAGATGAGAGAGATGAGAATACCGTGTGAGCATATGCTGGTGTTAGCGCGCTGTAAATAAATAAAAGAATACAATTGATTTTTAGTTATTTTCTACCAGATTTTTTGCTTATTATTATTTTTTCTTATTATTAATGTTATATAATAAATTTTGAAAAATGTAAAGATTAATTACAAATCTCTCTTTTAAATTCATATTTTTAATAGGAAGCTATACAATATTAAATTTGTGCATATACATTAGATTAGTCAGTACTGAATCCAAATCAGAAGATTATCTAACAAAATAACTTATGACAATGGTCCAAAAACTAGTACACCAAAATTTATATCTTAGAGAAAAATATTAAATACAAAATTTAAAAAGAGAAAAAAATCAAGAGGCAAAAAATCTAAAACTTTGAAATTTTGTAGTTTGTAATTGTATTTATTTATTTTTTTGCAATAATTAACTTGATTTTAATTATATTATCTTCAATTTCTAAATATGTTTGGAGTGTAAAATATTATTTTAATAAATGTATCTGTTTAATAAATCTGTTTTGTTTAAATGTACCAAAATACACTGCCTATATTCACTGAGAAATGGATAAAACATTCATTTTCAAAATGGGCTGCACTTGTATAAGATGAGCACTGTATTTGTGATATATTTCATTTATAACATTTTTTGTTGGGTTATTTGTTCTTATTTTAAGCATAAACCACGTGTTCTTGTTAGTTTTTCCTTACTGTACATAATTAAATCTGTAATAAATTCGTAGTATTTTGTTGCCATTTTAGGTGACATTAATATGCTATTGTAGATTTATTAATAGTTTAAATTAATATATTTTTTCTTTTTATAGATTGTTTATATTTATTCTGTTCTTTTTAATAAATAATAAAACTTTTTATAAGCATTTAAATAGTTTCGGATTTAACTTGGCTGGTTTTGTATATTTGATTGTTTTAGTTTTATTTTAGTATCTAATTTTAGTTAATTATTAAATTTAAATTTTTATAAAATTATTTTATCATTATACATTCTATTTTTTTGTTTAATTTAATTGTAATAATATTTTTTTCATTTATTTTTTCAAGAATTTTAGTTTTATTGTTTTTATTAACTTTGGTTTATTGATTTGTCTGTAAATTTTTTATTTTATTTGTTACATTATTAGTTTTTGTTTCATTTATTTAATCCCAATGATATACTATTGAATTATTTGTTTTTTATTTGTATATTTTCAACTTTACTTTAAACAATACAATGCATATTTGTGTATGGTATTATTATTATTTTTTTTTTTTTTTCAAAATATGTATGTATTGTTTGTTCGGTTGTTTGGTTTGGTTGTTTGCTATATTTGTTGTACTTATTTTAATACATCTTGTTGAACAAGAACAAAATATTTAGGAATATCTCTGGCAAATAGCTGAGGAAACATGTTTTTGATTTATTTTATTATCATAACCCTGGATAGTTCAGGTTTTATTTATTTATTGATAGTTAAGATTTTTGTAACTTTTTTGATTATTTGCTTTAAACAAAGTTTGCATTATTAGTATTTTTTATTAATCAATCAAATTAGTCTGTTTATGAGTAATTGTCAGAAATGGTGTACTAATATCTCTCTCCTCTGCCTTCTTTATCATTAGACACATTTGCCAGTAAAGTGGCAGCGATACAGGATCAGTATGCCGATGCATCCATTGGAAACGTGACGGGCAGCAACGCCGTGAACGTGTTCCTGGGCATCGGAGTGGCCTGGTCCATCGCCGCCATCTACCACAACTCAAAGGGCAACGATTTCAGGGTGGAGCCAGGAAACCTGGCCTTCTCCGTCACCCTCTTCACCATCTTCGCCTTCATCTGTGTGGCGGTGCTCATGTACCGGCGCCGGCCCGATATCGGCGGTGAGCTGGGGGGTCCGCGGACTGCGAAAGCGCTGACCACAATGCTCTTCGTCAGCCTTTGGCTCCTCTACATCCTCTTCTCCTCTCTGGAGGCTTACTGCCACATCAAGGGCTTCTAAACATGCACTCACATGCTCACACACACACACACACACACAGAACTACACAGACACACACAAACACATTCATGCATTCTGGGGAAAACTAGCAAGGACTGCAGAGGAAGGCAACAGCGGTGGATGATGGTTTTCCACAGACCATCTTTTCTCCACACATCATTTGTTCATCTTCATCTTCCTCCGCTCAACGACTGCATCTGATTGGACCACAGTGTCCAGACATCAAAATCTAGACTATGAAATTGCTACCTTTAACTACTGTAGATGTGCTTTTTTAACCTAAACCGGTGTAAAAGCCACGTGGGGCCGTGGAATCTGTAAGCCCTCTTCATAGTGCCATGGAACTCTGGGTAATGTGGCTGTGTGTTATAGGTTTGTTATGTTGGAGCGAGCGGTACTGTAATTTTGCTTGGGTGATTTTTTTTTTTTTTTTTTTTCGAGCACACCACTTTGTGTTTACGGTAATGTAATCAAAAGGGGTTAACTCTTCGCACATCATCTTAAACAGCTTTTGTTGTTCTTAAGAGCAGCTGTGTGTGTAACTAGTTCCTGTGAAGGCCAGTTTTTCTGTGCAGTTCAGAAGAGAATAACAATAAGAAGAATGCAGTGCTAATCTCTGCCGGCGCTTAAGCTTTAGAGACCAGAGACGCACTAGTGCAAGACTTTGATTTAAAAGCCTCGATCTGCTGGAAGAGCTCTGGTCGAGGAACATCCTGAATTTTCCATTATGATTATAGCGCACTTCGTTATGGATTAGATTATTAATTTATGCAATTGATGGAGGTCTGTGCCGTGAGATAATCCAGCATGTGACATGCTTTGCCAACATCACATTGAAAGTTTACAATTATGACTGTTACTTTCCGTCCAAACAAATAGACATACTATGGGAAAAATGCAAAACCGGTGGCCATACATTCAGACACAATTTACAGTCTTACACATGCAAGCATGCAAAATTGGTAGTCTTTTGCTTGATAAAGAATACACTGAGTCACTCATCTACGTGGAGTTTACGAGGGCGCGCTTTCCCTCCAAACCTGCTGAGATTGCTTCTTTGTACTTTACAGATTCGCTGCATTCAGAGCTGTATGGTAAATCTCGTAGAGTAGTCACGGTTTTAGACATAGCTTGATTTTAAAAGCAAAAGTTGTAGAACTAACCTGAATTTGATTCTAATTATATTTAGGATAGCATGGTTTAACGCAAACAAAGCCAGCGTAGCTCAGTTTAAATATTGAAAATGCAATTGCAGGATTTTTTACTTCTTTCCCCAGCAAGCATTGTTTGTTTTTAAAAGATGTCTAATAGACATTTAAACATAGTGGTCTTGGCTAAAACGAGGTTAAATTCGGGCTGTCAGTGAAAATCTAATAAACATCTAAGAATAGGCCAAAACTAGACTAGTCGTCAAATAAACCGAAATGAATGACTACACATATAAAGTCTGTCTACTTGACCACTAGTCTAGTTTTGTCCTATTCTCAGATGTCTATTAAATTTTCACTGACAGCCCAAGTTTAGCCTTGTTTTAGCCAAGCTGTCTACTTTTAGATGTCTATTAGACATCTATTTAACACAAAATAGTTTGCTGGGTCCAAAGTTGAATTTCCAGTCTTAATGGGAATCCTCTTAAAAATAAGGGTTCTTCATCGCCATTGATGGTCCTACAGAGAGAGCCGTTATCATCTGTTAAACTTAAAGGTTATTTGAATGTCTTTCAGCTGAGAAACCGATTCTTGGAACCTTTATCTTTAAGAGTAAAACTGAAATCACATTTCTGGACTGAGCACAGCAGATCTGACGTGTAGATATTTTGGACTGCATCTGTTGTGTAGTTTGCACCAAAATTTGCCAAAGGGAAATCTTTCTAACGGAGAACTGAAGTGTGCCACACAGCCCCTGAAGTGGGTTTTGTATTTCGATACTTACATTTTTTACCCACACCAAAAATGTCCTTGCAAGGATAAAGAGGCCTTGGTGACATTTCTTATCGGTGTTTGTACTGAAGGGATCCAGCCTACAGCTCTTTTACTGCATCCGAACACCTTTTCTCATGACGAAAGAGTGTTTTAAAGGGGTTCTAAGTTGGGGTTTGTAGTTGCAGTAGCTTGATTTTGAAGGTGATCGCTTGAAGAGCTCTTTTTTTTTCTTTAGGTTGTTGTGTTTGAGTTTGTTTTACATTTGTAATGAAAGGAATCAACATTGTACCAGCGCCAGGGCCTTTCCACTGGAAGTTAATGATGACCGTCAGTCCCTTATGAAGATGGTCCGCTGTTGCTTGCATATTTTAAGATCCACAAGAAAGACACTACAAAGAATGAAGGAAAAAAACACCATCATCAATAAACAGACCTTTTCCTTAAGTCTAATATTTAACCAATAAACAAAGCTGGAGCGAGTCGGTGAATCCATGTGAATTACAGCCATACCAAGACTCTCGCCAGACCAGACTCTCGCCGTATGTTCTGCTCGTCACACCAAGCGGTGCGTCTCTCCGTACGGGATGATGGAACTCTACATGGTCTCTACGGTTTATACTGTATGTGTATTTGCTTTGGCAGAGCAGAGGTCAGCAGTTGCACATCTGTGCTCTATAAATCAGGGCGTGGCTGCGTCAGAACCACCCCCCTGTGAAGCCTAGCCCCTCCCCTGCCCCGCCCCCTTGTTTGCCATGTCCATATTTGGAATGTTAATGTGATTCGTGTTGACAAATGCATGGATGCTAACCTGTCTGTATATAGTACGCGGAATCCCCTTCATTAACGTAGTCTACCGAGGTTTGAAAGCTGTATAGATATTCAGACTCTTCGTTCGTTCGTTTGATTTTCCGTCCGTAAGTTTCATTTGAATGTGTTTAGGTTTTTTTGGGTTTTTACTTGCACATGTATATTAAAAAGGCAGTATCTGTCGTTTGGTACAGGAGCACATGTACAAACAGTGGAAGCAATATATCAAGATCCGTCGCTTGGTTGTTGCAATGGCTGTATTATTTAACAGTGTGGAATATTCGAAGCGTTCAGGTGTGTGTATGTATATACTGTACAGTAGAATGAAGGCAGACTCTGCCATTATCACAGAGAGAATACAACATATTTATTTGAGACCCTTAAGAACTTCTGAATGACAAATATTGCCTTTTAGATTGATTGTTGCATAGAGCTTTTGTTCTAGTTTCTTTGCTGAGCAGTGTGTGAGTGCATGTGTGTGTGTGTTTGAGCAGTCTGATGTTTGTAAGAATTAAGGGAACGTAGAAATTGTAATATTTCTGCTCCAAAAAAAACAAAAAAACAAGTGAACCATCTGGAAAATGTCTGTAAAACGTTAGAAGAATGTGTGTGTATGTAAAGCGTCAGGGTTTGTCTTACATTCCTAACCCCTCTCTCTCTTCCTCACTGCTCAGATGGACTCTAGCCTTTCAGGGGTTTAATACTAATCTTTGATAATATTATTTCCTCCTCTTCCCGTCTCTCTCTCTCTCTCTCTCCTCTAACTCTCCACTCCAAGGCCTCACTAACATCTTGCATTAATGTGTCCCGTGAAAATCTAGGCTTTATGTTGTAAACAATGGCAGTGTATATGTGTAAAAATGTTCCTGGACAGTGCGTATACGTGTGTAAATGTCTACATTTCACTTATTTATAATGTATAAATTCATAGCATGTATAAAAGGTTTGCAAAAACCACTCGCACTGCAAAAAATACTGTTCCTGACTAGCTGTTTTGTCTAGTTTTCCAGAAAAAGAATACTTTTACACATGAAGGGTTTGTTTTCAAAGAATATCTACAGTATATATATATATATATATATAGACTTTTTTTTTTTTTTTGCTGTTCCTAAAAGCATAATATAAGCCGGTTTATGCTCAAACAAAAGAGATCTACTCATTAGAACATATCCATTACATTATTTTTGCTAGAGAACAAGACAAAATACTTTTGTTTTTCTTTATTTTGCAGTGTAAACATCATGGCAGAAAGCTCTCATGCCAAAGCAGGACTGAATGTATTGTATGTAACGGAATAGCTAATCTAAATGAAGGTTTTATTATATTATCTGTCTTGTACAGATCGAGGGGCTCAAATAATTGTGTGTGCGTGTGTGTACGATCACTGTAAGCTTATGCTGAGAGTCATGTTAATGCAAGTGTGTGTGGCCTTGTGGCATAGTGTGTCTTACACAGTCCTCTTGTCATGGGCTTATTTAAGCTGACTCTGTTCTCTCTCTCTCTCTCTCTCACTGTCTATCGCTTTATTTCTCGCTGTTCTGTTTTGATCGTTAGGTTGTTTTATTTCCGAAATGAATAATTGAATATGAGATTTTTTTGTTTTGATTTTATTTTTATGTTGCACTCAATCTAATAAGATGGACGTCCACTAACTGTGATTGCTCCCCTAGTACACCTCTACACAGGAAATAAAGTTTGGGATATCCTGTTTAGAGCCAACTGGCTGCAGTGTGTCTCCTTTTATGATTTTGGCTCTGAAAATACACACACAATAACAACAACACTGGCAAAGGTGGCATCATTAAAGCTTTGAAATTGACTTGCCAAGCTACTCATAATTTAAAGCAGTAAACTACAGTGTTTAAATATATATATTTAGCGATGCTTCAAGTCTTAATGAAATCAAAATTTTGATTAAAAGCTTATTTTTATATGTATATAATGTTTTTTTTTTTATAAACAATGTACAGTTGAAGTCCCAAATGACTTTTGTTCACTTCTGGGGTCCGTTGTTCGTACCTCGCTTAAATGATCTAAGATGATTTGGCAGATCCTGGATCTTTTAATCTTAATAACTGATCTCTCGCTAATTTGGTTCTTCAAACAAGTTTGCGAATCAGATTAGAATGTCTGGATGAACTGATCTGAGATCGCTGCGTGTGTTGTGAAGGACAGATCTATCGATCCTCGAAATCATGATCAGCAATGCAACGATTGGCTGATGGCACAGCAGCGTAATAACATCATCCGATTAATATTCAATTATCCATG